ACTTGAACCCGGGAGGTGGAGGTTGTGGTGAGCTGAGATTGAGCCATTTCACTCCAGCCTGGGCAACAAGAGCAAAACTCCGTCTCAAAAAAAAAAAAAAAAAAAAAAAGACATACCAATGGCCAACAAATATATTTTTTAAAATGTTCAACATCACTAATCACCAGTGAAATGTACATCAAAACCACAATGAGATATTACCTCATCCTAGTTAAAATGGCTTGTTATCAAAAAGACAAAAAATAACAAGTGCTAATGATGATACGGAAAAAGAGGAATGCTAGCACACAATTGGTACAAATGTAAATTAGCATAGCCATTATGAAAAACAGACTGGAGATCCTTCAAAAAACTACGAACAGATCTGCTATATGACCCAGCAATCTTACTGCTATATATATTGTCCAAAAGAAAGGAAATCAGTATATCAAAGAGATGTCTGCATCCCCATGTTTACTGTAGCACTATTCACAATGGCCAAAATATGGAATCAACCTAAAGTCCATCAACAAATGAATGGAAAAGAAAGTGGTAATATATACACAATGGAATATTATGTAGACATAAAAGGAATGAAATTCTATCATCTGTAGCAACATGAATGTAACTGAAGGACATTATGCTAAGTGATAAATCAGGCATAGAAAGACGAATATTATACACTGTCATTCGTATCTGGGAATTTAAAAAGTTGATCTCATGGAGCTAGAGAATAGATGGTTACCAGAGGGTGGAAAAGGTAAAGAGGAGTGGAGGGATGAAGAAAGAATGGTTAATGGGTATAAAAATACAGTTAGAAGAAATAAGGTCTACCGTTTGATAGCACTGCAACCTCTGCCTCCCGGGTTCAAGCGATTCTCCTGCCTCAGCCTCCCAAGTAGCTAGGATTATAGGTGCCCACCACCAAGCCTGGATAATTTTTTGTATTTTTAGTAAAGATGGGGTTTCACCATACTGGCCAGGGTGGTCTTGAACTCCTGACCTCAGGTGATCTGCCCGCCTCGGCCTCCCAAAGTGCTGGGATTACCGGCATGAGCCAGCACCTGACCAAGATGACTGTAGTTAATAATTTATTTTATATTTTAAAATAGCTAGAAGATTTGGAATGTTCCCAACACAAAGAAATGGTAAATGCTTGAGTTGATGGATATCCTAATTACCCTGATTTGATCTTAACACATTATATGAGTGTGTCAAAATATCACCTGTACCCCATAAATAGGTACAATTATGTATCAATCAAATAAATTAAAAATAAAATACTTCTTAAAAACTCATTTGAGGCCGGGTGCGGTGGTTCACGCCTGTAATCCCAGCACTTTGGGAAGCTGAGGCGGGCAGATCACAAGGTCAGGAGTTCGAGACCAGCCTGGCCAACATGGTGAAACCCCATCTCTACTAAAAATACAAAAATTAGCTGGACATGGTGGCCGGTGCCTGTAATCCCAGTTACTTGGGAGGTTGAGCCAGGAGAATCACTTGAACCTGGGAGGTGGAGGTTGCAGTGAACCGAGATCACACCATTGTACTCCAGCCTGGGTAACAAGAGTAAAACTACGTCTCAAAACAAACAAACAAACAAAAACAAAAAAAGGCATTTGATAATATTAGGGCATTCTTGTTCATTTTTTGCTGTGTATTATGGTTAAATGTTTTGCCCCTTTTTAAGTCATAAATACTAGCAAATTATTATATGAAGATAATTATACTGCTTGATTCCTATATGTATTTTAAAAAACGACTTAGTTAATCTGGTTAGACTCAAAGTTATTTTTTCCATTAAAAATGACACTGATACAAAAATGACAAGTTAAAAGGATGTTAATAATTTGCAGGTCTTAAGACCACACATTGAAGGTCTCTGGACTAGCTTCCTCAAACTATTTGGGATTGGTAGTTGATAGTGGAAAAGTAATAAAGACGCAGAGAAGGCTCATCATAAAATCACATGCTATTTTGGAGTTTTCAAGAACAGAATAGTAGCTACTATTATGTGGCATAATTATAAAATAATAAATAAATTAAATAATAAAGTAATAAAAAGGGAGTTTTAAGAACTCTCTTAATTATGTCTACTGATTCAATATAATAGAATTATACATATAAATACATATGTGGAACTAATAGTTGTTCTACTTTAATATTCATAACAAAAGTAACTTAAAAATTAGAAGCATTCTTACCTGTTGAGAAAAGAGAATATAATTGTCCTCTATAAGTAAGAAGCATATTAGATATGACATAAGCAGGAAGAGCTCCACCATGAAATCTAACTACCTAAAAAACAAGTCAGTCAATGGGCAACTCCTGAATATTCATCTTAATGAAATAAGTGTAGTTTCACATAAAATTTAAAAGTTGCTCTTCAATTTATACCTTTCCTGACATGGCCACAAAGATATTTCCAGTAGTAAGTATCAAAAACTCTAAGTACAATAAATGTTGAAAATACATAGCAAACTAAAAATGCATCTGAATTTTTTATCGAAGGCATAATAGAACACATAATTGAGTAGCATATACTACAAAACTGTTTTCCAGGACACACTGATTATTTAGCATGTTCCAGGCATGACAGTAAACACCTTATATGCATTATCTCATGTCCTTCTCCTAATATTGTTTGAGGTAGTTCTTATCCCTATTTTATAGATAAAGAAATTCAGGCATGAGAGCCCAACTAACCTGCACAATTTAGAACATAATGGGCAAGTTACTTAGCTTCCCCTCTCTATGTCTTTATCAGTAAATGGGGACAATACTAGTATGTACCTTATAGGTAGTTATGAGCATTAGACATGCATATGTGTGTAAGGCATTCAGAATATTAACTCATATATGACAAGTTATGAGGAAATGTTAATTGCTTTATTAACTTTTTATGTCCTTCACTGTGTTTGAAAATCTTATGGAACTGTAAGTTTTAAAATCAGTGCCTGAGTTCATAATCATTATGTTATAGTGCCTCAAGTCATCCTATCAGCTCTCTACAAAATACATACAACAAAAACAAGCATTCCTACACACCAGTAACAGACAAACAGAAAGCCAAATCACAAGTAAACTACCATTCACAATTGCTACAAAGAGAATAAAATACCTAGGAATACAACTTACAAGAGATGTGAAGGACCTCTTCAAGGAGAACTACAAACCACCACTCAAGGAAATAAGAGAGGACATAAATAAATGGAAAAACATTCCATGCTCATGGATAGGAAGAATCAATATTGTGAAAATGGCCATACTGCCCAAAGTAATTTATAGATTAAATGTTATCCACATCAAGCTACCATTGTCCTTCTTCACAGAATTAGAAAAAACTACTTTGTTTCATATGGAACCAAAAAAGAGCCTGCATAACCAAGACAATCTTAAGTAAAAAGAACAACCCTGGAGGCATCACTCTACCTGACTTCAAACTATACTACAAAGCTACAGTAACCAAAACAGTATGATACTGGTACCAAAACAGATATACAGACCAAAGGAACAGAACAGAGGCCTCAGAAATAACACCACATATCTACAACCATCTGGTCTTTGACAAACCTGACAAAGACAAACAATGGGATAAGGATTCCCTATTTAATAAATAGTGTTGGGAAAACCGGCTAGCCATATGCAGAAAACTGAAACTGGACTCTTTCCTTAAACCTTATACAAAAATTAACTCCAGATGGATTAAAGACTTAAAGTAAGACCTAAAACCATAAAAACCCTAGAAGAAAACCTAGGCAATACCATTCAGGACATAGGCATGGGCAAAGACTTCATGACTAAAACACCAAAAGTAATGGCAACAAAAGCCAAAATTGGCAAATGGGATCTAATTAAACAAAAGAGTTTCTGCACAGCAAAAGAAACTATCATCAGACTGAACAGGTAACCTACAGAATGGGAGAAAATTTTTGCAATCTATTCATCTGACAAAGTGCTAATATCCAAAATCTACAAAGAACTTAAAGTTACAAGAAAAAACAAACAACCTCATCAAAAAGTGGCGAAGGATATGAACAGACACTTCGCAAAAGAAGACGTTTATGCGGCCAACAAACATATGAAAAAAAGCTCATCATCACTGGTCAACAGAGAAATGCAAATCAAAACAACAATGAGATACTATCTCACCCCAGGTAGAATGGTGATCATTAAAAAGTCAGGAAAGAACAGATGCTGGAGACGATGTGGAGAAATAGGAATGCTTTTACGCTGTTGGTGGGAGTGTAAATTAGTTCAACCATTGTGGCAGACAGTGTGGCAATTCCTCAAGGATCTAGAACTAGAAATACCATTTGACTCAGTAATCCCATTACTGGGTATATACCCAAAGGATTATAAATCATTCTACTATAAAGACACATGCACACATATGTTTACTGCGGCACTGTTCACAACAGCAAAGACTTGGAATCAACCCAAATGCCCATCAATGATAGACTGGATAAAGAAAATGTGGCACATATACACCATGGAATACTACGCAGCCATAAAAAAAAGGATGAGTTCATGTCCCTTGCAGGGATATGGATGAAGCTGGAAACCATTATTCTCAGCAAACTAACACAAGAACAGAAAACCAAACACTGTATGTTCTCACTAATAAGTGGGAGTTGAACAATGAGAACACATGGACACAGGGAGGGGAACATCACACACCAGGGCCTGTCAGGGGGTGGGCGGCTAGGGGAAGGATAGCATTAGGAGAAGTACCTAATGTAGATGACGGGTTGATGGGTGCAGTAAACCACCACAGCACGTGTATACCTATGTAACAAACCTGCACGTTCCGCACATGTACTCCGGAACTTAAAAGTATAATTTTAAAAAAAGCCTTAAGTTCTTTTAATGTCACATTATTAAAAGTAAATTTACTTTAAAGCATGTTTTCCATTCCACATAATTTTTTTAGAACATGTATAGACTTCTCTGGCAACCTGAGGAAAGCTATGTAAGTACAAGCTTACTATAAAAGTTGGAGAAAATTTCAGAAAATTCAGGGTCTCCCTAAAGTTCCTCCATGGATTCCCAGGTAAAAAGAGAAGAGAAAAAAATCAGATAACGTACAGCCCATACTTGTCACTTACAGTTTACAGCTTTGCATGGAAGGTTGGGAAAGCTGAGTAAAAGGGAAAAGACCATTTTGCTACCTAATACCAAATCATACATGACATGCTGGGAAATATACTGTACTTATCGAGAGTATAAAAGGAAAGTTAAGCAACACAGCAGGCTCAGGAGTTAGACTCCTGGATTTAGATTCCAGCTTTGCCTCTCACTAGTTCTGTGTCCTTGGGCAAGTTATTTTACTCCTCCATTACTTTCCCTTCCCTCTCTCTATATCCTCATCTGTAAAATGAGATAAACAGCACTTACCTCACAGGGATGTAAGGCTTAAATATGTTCACACTTGCATAAAGCATTTGGAACAGTAACTGGTACATGGTAACTGACTGGAAAATACTAGCTGTTATTGTTACCTTTAATGCCCTTCACTGTGTTTAGAATCTTGTAAGACATCCCACGCAGAGTATTCTGAATATAAAATTTATTTTAATGACAGAGGATCATTGTTATGAGTATTAAATGTTATACTGGGCTACAGATACAACTGGGTATATAAGATACTACTAAACTTACAACTATAAACTGACCTCCCTGTCTCATAGTCAAACTGTAGCCATACTTAGTATTTGGTGCAGTATTTCTTTAAATTTTGAATTACATGCCAACATTGAAAAATTAAAATATTTCGTTTAAAACTTCAGATTTCTAGTTTCTCTTAAAAGCTGAAGATCTGGCAACACTGGACTTCATTCCTGCACAGAAATGATTTACCAGCGTTTATGGAATTCTCTTGAGAAAGTAACTTTCAGTTTATGCTTTGCCCTCTTTTTCGTAAGAGCAGACTATAGAATATGTGAATATTTTCCTCTTTCCTTTTTCAGAAAAAAATTTAACTTTATGAAAAGATATCTACTGAAGGCTGAAGTTTCTCTTATTCATTTTCTCCAACCTTCTGTGACTGAATCAGCAACATTCAAAATATGTATTGTTTTTTAAAACAAGTAAGATACACAACTTTCATTCATTCTCTTACTACCTACAAGCTACATTTTTAAACAAGCATGAAGGAAGAACATCTTATGTCTTTTCAATAATTTGAGAATTTAATTCAATTAATACAAATTCTTTTTGTTTTTAAATTTTTTATTACAGAACTAAGCTTAAGCTTCAATAATACAAATTATTTAATTGACATTTTAAAAGAATCTACATTTGATACTGTTAACACCTGTACATCCTCAGTCTTTAGAAAGATTTCCACATCAAAACCAGAATACTAGGTCTGTCCTCTTTTGGTTTATAATTATGCTTGACTCTAGTGTATCAAGCTGACTTGACTTTTCTTGTTACTAAATTGAATTATGAGACACAGGAATTATATGGATAAGAGAGTATGTTATATTCCTACTCCAAACCACTGTTTACAGTAATATGCCCTTTCACCATACTAAATATACAATAGTATGAATTTGAGAGATTTGATTGGTTCCTTAACATTTTAGAATATATACTGTAATTATCCATGATGCTATTTTCCAACTTACACAAAGATTTTAATCTTCCCTTCCTAATTTAGCACAAAATTTTTATATATTAACTTACAATTTTATAATGTTCACAAATTAATAACGTTCATAATCTAGTTCTCACCAAGTTGCTCTGAGGATTGAATGAGATAATGCATATAAAAAATGTTTCTAATTTAATTTTGTCTTGTGAGTTTTATTACAGTATTAAATGACTTGAGTTAAAACAAAATTCTACTATGCCTGCATTGCAAAATACAACAGATCAAAAAAAAGTGAAAGTAATAAAAGCTGTAATACAAATTTGACTGAATTTTAAAACTATGTAACTTCCCTAACTTATTAATTGTTATCTTATTTATGTCCAGGTTGCACAATTGTGCAAATTATAGCGATGCTAAGTAGTATCTATAGTTCTACTACTTTAGGCAGTATTTTTGTAATATTATTTGCTAATGAATTCAATACGTTTATCTTTAATAGAATTTATGTTTACCTTTTATAAACTAAGTATGCACAATATAAAAAGTTATTTGAAAACATTCATTTATACAGCAGGGCCTACATATTTTATTATACTATGATTTTATAATGTAATATGAGCAACATGAAATCTTTTTTCTTTTTCTTTCTTTTTTTTTTTTTTTTGAGATGGGGTCTCCCTTTGTTGCCAAGGCTAGAGTGCAGTGGCACAATCTCAGCTCACTGCAACCTCTGTCTCCCAGGTTCAAGCGAGTCTCATGCCTCAGCCTCTTGAGTAGCCAGGACTATAGGTGTGTGCCACCATGCCTGGCTAATTTTTGTCTTTTTAGTAGAGGTGGAGTTTTACCAGTTGGCCAGGCTGGTCTCGAACTCCTGACCTTAAGTGATCTGCCTGCCTTGGCCTCCCAAAGTGCTGGGATTACAGATGGGAGCCACCATGCCCGACCGTGAAGTCTTAATATGAAATTCATTTAGGCAAAAATATTAGTTTGTTTGAGAATCAGGTATCAGCTCTCATTTTTTGGACGCATCAAACATGAAAGCATCACCTTAAAGCAGGGGTGGACAACTACGGCCTGTGGGCCAAGAATAATTTTTGGATTTTATTAAAGTGGAAGAAGAATGAAAAAGAAAAAAGGAAGAAGACAGAAGCAGCTACAGCAGTGGCAGTAGCAAAAGATACTGTATGTGGTCTGCAAAAAATTATTGATTATCTGGCCCCTTATGGAAAAAGTCTACAACCCCTTCCTTAGAGTTATCTATTCATAAAGCAGTAAATAATTAACCAGCCAGGAATCTCTCTTACCTGTCCAAGTATTTGTGAAAAGGAAGTCTTAATTGTCACCTAGTTTAAAACAATTATTGAAAAAAAGGTTATTTTCCTCTAAACTCCTTTACATTTTATTCAATTGAGTACTTCTGCATTTCTCTAAGCATAATAATTGATTTTCCATAATGGTAAATCTTAAAGGCACTCAAGATCTTAAAGAATCTTCTGAACCACCATGTAAATTGTATTAAGTACAGTTTTACTGTTTAGCATACTTTCGCACGTATCTAATTATTTGACAGTTGAGTAAATGCTATTATGCCCCTTTACTACCTAAAATATTTGATTAAGTAGAATATCTTATTACCACATCATGCCAGCTAAAGAAATTTAAGTCAAAATAATATTTTAAAAAGAATTTCATCCTTAATTATCTCTACCATAAATACAACTTTTTTTATAATTAGGAAGTCTATTTGATATTAGAAAGGAGATAAATTTTTTTTAGGGAAGTTTAAAATGATTACATTTTGTCAAAATATAGACTTCTTGAAAATATACAGTATTTGTAAAAACATGGACATTTTGAGAGCATGCAGTATTTGCAGCCAAATTTTTATCACAATTTTTTCTATTGCTTTACTATTATAAATATGAATAGGCAAGTTAAAAACTACTATGGCCCTGAAAAACCCTTAACTGTTAGAAACAGGATGCAAGATATCAAAGCAATAATAAATTCCACGAAATCTAAATTAATTCATAATATAAGTTCAACTGAAACTTGGCTGGAGGAACAGATTCTATTAATTTGACAATATCAATCCTAGTTTACCCTTGAAAAGTTAGATCTAACAAAGTATCCAAACATTTAAGCTTGGTTTAAAGCAGTTGAGCAGAAATAAAATATTTCACATAAACCAGAGGCCTATGATGTCATAACCACTGAAATGAGTACTTTAATCACTTAAATCTGGAATCTAGGGGCTCTTCATTCATGAATCCATAAGTAAATAAAATGTTACTCTCAAGTCTATTTCCCTTAACACAAAGAGATGTATTTTGATTACAAAATAAACATAATAGGTATGAAATCACACATTTTAATGACTAGCAGAGTTTAAAATAATTAGTGAAAAGGAAAGAAGATCCTTAAGCTAACAACCAGTAGAGCTATACACCAATAAGTATCATGTCAGTTACTGCAGTAAGCCCCTGTCAGCTGACCTCATGATGTTCTTCAATTTATAAAAGATTCTGGACTTGGGGCTTCCAAATTCAGAAGTTGAATCTACAGTCTCATTTTTTGCTTTATCTTCTATTACTTATTAAGATGTATACATTTTCAAATGGTCTAGTTATGGAGATGCTAAGGTGGTGTTAATAGGAAAAATGAAGAACATTTAAAATATTTTAAATGCCTATTTTTTGTATGTATTGGCTTCCATACCACCATGTATCTAAAGCTTATATAAAAAGAATATTTCTAGCTTATTCTATAACTAAACCTTAAAAATTAATCAAACATACAACTTACCTCGTACCGACAGTCTGATGATGTGTACATTTTTAATAATGCCACATGGCTGTCATTTTCTGGTTGAGCAATATGGAGTTTCAGAGAAATTTCTGTGGAAGATGGAGCCCTGAAGAGATAACTTAAATTCAATTCTCAAATACAAAATGCTGGTAAAGAGCCACGGCTAAGTTAATCCCCAGCACAATACAATCGAATAATGTAGAGGAAGTTAGGTACCAGACACATAATTGTGGATGGGCACTTTTTCAATGATATCACAATTGTTTGAATGCTTCCTCTAGGACACAGGAGTAGGGAGAGGGTGGAAGGGGGCTCAGGTTCCAAGCAAGTAAAGTTTAAGTTTTCTATCATTTAATAAGAATACTATATATTAAATTATAGGAACAATGCTATATAAAGGATACATACATTTTACTGAGGCATTTTAATAATTCATGATTTAAATAAATAAACTAAGCAGAATATCTATTATTCAAAAACACCAAAGTTTAAAGTAAATTCTTTCGAATACTTACTGTGCAACGGTTAGTGAATCTTCATAAGACCAAGGAATATGAAGTTTATAGATACTGGTTATTTCTTCTGTTAAAACATTAAAAAAATGTATTATTAACAATATGTTACTCTAAACATTAAACGACTATAACACCTAACTAATTATACAATTGTTCATTTCATTTAAAAAATCAGTACAGGTTATATTACATGATAAAAAATTATGGAGAATTCCTAAATAATAATGCTTTAATTCGATTTATAATAGATATTACAGCAGATAGGCAGTACTAAGAAAGTGGAAAAATATTAAATAACTAAATCTGAATTACTACTATAAGACATAAAGATATATGGTATTTTAAAAATGTGGATATTTAAAGTGAAACAGATAAAAATGCTTTACTGTTAAGAAAGGGTCTATGTTAAATCCCCTGGAAATATAAACAACTTTTCTATTATATATTTAATTTTACTTCACATAAAAATATATGGAAGTATTATAGAAAATTCAAGTTAACACCTACTGACTCTTCAAACAACAATATTATTTTCTACACATTTTTTAGAAAACATATTTACCTTTCACTGCTGAGCACTTGCTTACCACGTTGATTTTAAAAGCTTGGTATATCTAACAGAGTTTGACCACAAAAAGAAAATAAAAAGGTTACTTGTATGTTAAAGTAAACATTAAAGTAAAATCAAATCCTTCTTGTTGGAGTCAGGATTAATTACCTGTCCAAAGTTCAGAAGCTCTAGATTGTAGTAGAGGCCGTTTGTATTTAACACCACTTTCCTTGAAGACAATCCTGTTGAATTCAAAGCACTGTATTACTTAGAATATCAAGGAAGTTTTAAAATATGTAGTGATTATTTAATTAGCATTAAAACAATGCCAATAATTAAAAATTTGTTTACAGGTTTTCACTTCTGCATGGAGTTAACTCCTAAAAATCTAATCCCCCAGCAATAAACTCTAGACAAAACAACTTTTATGACTTCCAATCACATCTATCTGCTTTTATAATTCCAATTTCAGAAAGGTATATACTTTCTTGGTAGATCTTTTATTTTAGAAGCTTCTTATCTTCTAATGATAAGGGTGATTCAGAATTGTCATTTCTGTATTGTTCTGGGTATTTTTATACCAAAACAAAGGGTAAGGGGAAAAATAAAAATCTTCGAGTTTTCCCAAGTAACACAGATTCTTTTCATAAATGGGATGTAAAAAAATATTTAAAGGATGGGCATACCAAAATGGCACAGGAGTTAACGTAAAAAAGTTCCCAATATTCAAAGCTAGAACAACTTAAGCAAAAATATATATAATGACAGAATTGTTTTATAGCCCAATGAATAAAATAGATATCCCTGAGTCCATAGTGACATAAATAAAAATTGAATAAATAAATAAATGGGGGAGAAGGGTCTACTTTATCTCAGGAAGAATTCCACTAAATGTAGAATACCAGAGTAATATTTGCTAAGTACTAGATGAACCAATGGATGCTAAAAATAGTGGGTTATTCTAAAGAAAAACAGGACATTCATATATTCTCAAAGTATGTCACCCCAGATATTTATTAATTACAAAAGGAAAAAGCAATAACGTTATAATGGAGAAACCTAGCAGGCACCATCTTAACCAAGAAAGGAAAATTAACATAACTAGTAATTAGAGATATGAGTATCATGTATACTCAATATGATATAGTAGGTAATCCTCCTTGCTTCTGTGGTATTTTGGCAAAAATACATAACCTCAATATAATCACGAGAAAGTATTAGACTGGGCGCCTTGGCTCATTCCTGTAATCCCAGCATCTTGGGAGGCCAAGGCAGACAGATTTCTGGAGTCCAGGAGTCTGAGACCAGCCTGGGCAACATGGTGAATCTCTGTCTCTACAAAAAATACAAAAAAGTTAGCTGAACATGGTGTCACATGCCTGTAGTCCTAGCTACTCAGGAGGCTGAGGTGGAAGGATTGCTTGAGCCCAGAGGCAGAGGTTGCAGTGAGCTGAGATCATGCCATTGTACTCCAGCCTGGGTGACAGAGTGAGACCTTGTTCCCTACTCCCCCCACAAAAATGAAAGTATCAGACAACTCCAAATAAGGAACATTGTACAAAATAATTGAACAGTATTCTTCAAAGGTTTCAAAGTTGTGAAAGGCAAGGAAAGATTGAGGAACTGTCACAGATTACAGGAGACTTAGGAGTCATGACAACTAAACGCAATGTGGAAACCTGGAGAAGCAGGACATCTGTGGAAAAACTGGTGAAAAACAAATAAAGCCTGCAGTTTAATTAATAGTATTGCACTAATTTCTTGGTTTAAAAGGTTGTATTGTGTTTATGTAGAAGGTCAACCTTAGGGAAATGTGGGTGAAGGATATACAGAAACTCGTTTGTAACTTTTCTGTAAATCTAAAATTATTTCAAAATAAAGTTTAAAAGAATATTTAGAGAAATCTTGAAACCTTCTTATACAAATAGCAATTTATAATTCTATATTAAAATTGTATTAAAAGGGCCAATAGGATAAATTTCACATAAGAACAGACACACAGACACATATATACACACACTCAATTACCTGCAAATGTATGTGATTATGGAAGTTCACTTCTCAGAATATGACTGCTAGCCCAATGAGAAGAAAATCACTGAACCACATTATACAGTTATTCTAAGAACTATACTTGAAATAGTCAACAACATTCGATATTACAAAGCTCTGCTTTACTGCAACTCTGTTAAAAATAAAAGCAATTCTTATGCTTTCCAAAAACAGTACTTACCAAAGGAAAAAAGATGAGTTACAGGAAGCTGTATGTATCTTGTCTCTTTTTTAAAGAATTCACAATCTACAACAAACTGAAATACAAAACACTGATTTATTTTTAAAAAGTAAAGTTAAATTTATAGTAAAATATCTTTACTTGATGTTTGAGTGGAAAATAAAAGTCTATAAATCTCAGCTTTGGAGAAAGTATCATCTATTACACTATAATTCTGCCTATACTTAGATGACAAGAATTTCTCAAGGAGAGATACTATGCTGAGAAAACTTGATACACAAGCTTAACTTAAAAGATTATTAGAGGACCATTTCTAGAACAACAGATCCATAGCAGTTTTTTTAAATAGTTAGCTTTAGGTGTTTGCAGAAGAAGGACAGTAAAGGATGGATCAAAGTATTAAGAGCCTAGGCTAATTCAAGATTAATTAAGGATTTAAACACTATGTCTCTTAATACTTTCATAGTCAACAAGAAAATGTGATTTTGTTATATATCTTTTGAAAAATCCTGTATTTATTAAAGATAGTCTAATTCGCCTATAAAAGGCTTTTGGAGAAATACTGCCATTGATTGACATATGGCTAATGTTATTTGTGGAACAATATTTCAGGTTAAACAGTTATTACAGTAAGTGTAAAAAAGGTTTGCTATGTATGAAGCCAGAAAAAGAAATGCTTTTCAAAAAAGTAGAACTAAAATGTGACACCCGCGTCATTATAATTTTTTGTAGTGACATTTCTTTTTAAATAACATTTCTATTAGCGGCATGAGAAGCTCTGCTCTACTTATTTCTGGTAAAGGAAAAGTTTCATTAAAATAATCTCTACAATGCGATATTATTTTGATCTATAGAAGCTAAAGAAAAATTAATCTGATGCGTAACTGTAGCTGGCAAGTAGTTTGCTGTCTACAAAAGCGGAAAGCTAGTGGGGTCTATCCTAGGCTTTTCTAATAACTATACTTTGGATTTGTCTGAAGCAGTATTACTTTGTTTGCCTCTTGGGTAGATTTTTTATTGTTTTCAAAAGTGAAAAACAGACAGGGAAATTGCTACTAGATTATACCATACACTTGGGGGAATAAAAGAAAAAACTTTTAAGGGGTTTTGCTTTTATTTCTCCCTCCTTACTTATAAGGCAAAGAACACAGTCAGATATTTTCATTATAGAAAACAGCTGCTGAAAGATAATAGAAATCATTTATTGAACAGGATTATTCATTATATTTTTTACAAAGTACTTTTGGATAAGTCTATATCAGAGAGGGAAGCAGTTTTTAAAAGCAATTTAATCACTTTGAACAAGTTTAAAATAATAGAATTTTTATTATTGCTTTAAAAATTTGGCTGTGCCTTTAGTTTTGCATAATGACAAAAACCCTACCCAAGAAAGAGAAAATTCAAAGGCCTGTCTCTCAAACACCCAAGGTAAGTAAATTTCTAACGGGTTTAATCATTTTGTTTTCTGTTACAAAAAAAAAAAATGCAGATAATTCCATATTTGCATTTCTAAAAATATATTGATACAAGTTGACTAAAAAATGTTTTACACTATTTGAATATATGTCACGTTCTGATGATGAGCTATATACATAGACATGCAAAAACTATGAAAGACTTAAGTTATAATTCTAGTGAGACAGGGTTGTATAACAGTAGAGTCTGCAGTGTTACTTTCCAAAGAGCATTAAGATGCATTACATATTTATTAGGCTGCTAAGACTGTCTATTTGCAGAAAGGCTCATTAATTTCTTGGAATAACCAGAGAGGGCCTTTTCAAGTTTGAGAAAAATATTAGATTCATTCAAAACCATCTTACCTGACAGAAAAACCCTTAAAGAGAGCTTTTAGTATTGAAGATGCTGAATTACCTCTCACTTGAGCTAAGCAAAACAGAACAATGAATCCATTATAAGGGACTTGCGAGATTTAGTCATTGAGATGACTCCCAACTACATCCCCCTTTTCCTTTCTCTATTTCTCCTAAATTTTTCTGATTATTTTGGCTACAAATCTTACCAACCTTCTCATTCAATAAACATTTTATTGAGCATTTATGCAGTAGTCACTGAAGGTTGAGGATGCAAAGTGGAATAAAACCTATCTGTTCATTACTCTTAAAGAGTTCACAATGTGGTCATGGCAACTGAGACATAAATAAATTATAATTCAATATAATAAAATTTTCAAAGAAGTTATAAACAAAGTATCAGAATAAGTAAAAGATTACTGGGGGACTCTGGAAAAGGGAAAAAGGGACACAGGTTGGATCCTGAAGAGTAAGTTTGCTGGGTGAAATAGGAAAAGGGGAGTCCAAAGTACCCTCTACCTCCATTTTCTTTCTTACCCACTAATTCTATCAAAATCACCATTCTTTTCTTTCTATTCCCACTTCCCCAGTACAGGCCGAGGATCCCTTATCCAAAATGTGTGGAACTAGAAGTGTTTGATTTTTTCAGATTTTGGAATATTTGCCTATATATAATGAGATATCTTGGGGATGGAACCCAAGTCTAAACACGAAATTCATTTATGTTTCATATATATCTTATACACATAGTCTCAAGGTAATTTTTATATTTTTAATAACTTTGTGCATGAAACAAAATTTTGACTGTTTTGACTATATTTCACCACATGAGGTCAGGGGTAGAATTTTGCAATTTTGTTGTTAGGTTGGCACTCAAAATGCTTTAGATGGCGTGCCCTCGTTATTATAGCAGTGAGTATCCCCACTAGTCAAAAAGTTTTAGAGTTTGGATTTTCGGATTAAGGGTGCTCGGTCTGTACAAGCCCCTTAGGAGGTGTGTAGTCTGTTTCTGATCTATTCTACAGCATAAGGAGATTAATCTCCCCAAATAAATGATTTCTGATACCATTACTACTATAGTGAAAAATCTTATGGCTTCCTACTGACTTTTGAATTCTGTTAAGTCCTGAATCCTCCAATCAAGACTTTCACAATACGGCCATGAACTAATTTTCCAGACTTTTCCTCCACTACTATTCAAACCTATCGTGGCCATCCTTTCAAAATTATTATTTACTCATTCACCGGTTTTCAAATATACTTCATGCTTTGCTCTGTTGCTTTGTCTGAACAGTGCTGTTCCTTATAACTCCTGGCAATGATGTTACTATTGAGCATCTGGAATGTGACTAGGACAACTAGGGAACAGAATTTTTTATTTTATGTTAACTTAAATTGAAATAACCACATGTGCTAGTGATTCCTGCATTGACAGTATGGCTCTACAATGTTCATTCTTCCTATAAAAATCCTAGCTATCCGTTAAGGCCATTTTGTTTTATTTCATTTCATTTAAAAGGTGGGGTCTCATTATGTTGACTAGGCTGCAGTACAGTGGCTTTTCATAGGCATAATCATAGCATACTACAGCCTCCACCTCCTGGGTTCAAACGATTCTCCTACTTCAACTTCCCAAGTAGCTAGGACTACAGGTACTTGCCACCATGTCCACTTGAAAGCCATTTTAAATATCATCTTATTATAATGCCATTCTTTTTATGTACTTGCTATATTCTGATTTGTGTTATGTGTATTTGGGTAGTTCTTTTTCCACTCTTCCCTCTGCTCCAGTTACATTTCTCTCCCCCTTCCCAATAGCATGTAGCTTTTTCACAGTGGCTCATACCTGAATTCCCAGAACTTTGGGAGGCCAAGGTGGGCAGATCACCTGAGGTCAAAAGTTCAAGACCATCCTGGCCAGCATAGCAAAACCCCATCTCTACTAAAAATACAAAAATTAGCTGGGCGTGGTAGCACGCACGGGTAGTCCCAGCTACTTGAGAGGCTGAGACAAGAGAGTCGCTTGAACCCAGGAGGTAAAGGTTGTAGTGAGCCAAGATTGAGCCACTGCACTCCAGCCTGGGTGACAGAGCAAGACTGTCTCAAAAAAACAAAAAAAACCAGGGTCATGTCTTCATTTGTGTGCCTCCTATAATTCCTTGTACATAGCGTTGTACTTAAAGGGTACCTAATAATTCATAGGTTTTACACCTATGAATTATTATTATGTGTCTAATAATTCACAGGTTTTGAAAGACTGATTGATAAACTGGAACCATTTCTCACTTGGAACAAAGAAACTTGGGTTTATTCTGCTTAGTTCAAGTTAGAGTAGATGATCCTAATAATTTAACAGTCTTAGGTGGATCATCAAACTGGCTACGGTTTTAGATAAACTCTGTGCAGAAAAACTCATTGAAAAAGAACTGTAAAATTTAGCATGTATCCCCAAAACATTCTGATAACAATCTTAACCCACTTGTTACCTTACTTCCATGAACAGATGGTACATAAACAACAAGATGAGACAAAGATGGATAGTCTTGAAGTCTTAATGTCAGAAACTAAAATAAAAAAAAAACAAACTACTTTTATTTCTTAGAGATTAACGCATGTTTAAAGAAAAATAAATTACACTTATTTCTTACTCAATTAGTTATCTTAAAAAGCAGGCTTCCAATTTATGTTCACTACTTCACAAAATGCCCATGTTCACATTTCCAGGTCAATCATCCTGTTGAAAATCAAGTTCCTAATAATTATTATGTTAAATAAGGACTGCCAAAAATATTCCTTGGATCCCTTCACATAAAACAAATGACATTTAACATTAAATTTAATTATTTTCTATTATTATTTCCAAATTTGATGTCTTTCTTTTTATAATTTGGTTGTTACATATAGTATCACAGCATCGTTTCTACATTTATTTTGGTAGTATATAACAAAAAACATTCAATAGCTAATGAATGAATAAATGCTAAATATAATGAAAGAGTTACAATTTAATCCCAAATGATTTTGATCTAGCCCAAGTAGTAAAGAGTTGCTGGCTAATGGCATATCTGCACATCATCCCCTGGAATTTATTTAGCAAATGACAAAGACAAGTATGTCTAAATAATGCACCTCACCAAATGAGTAACTATTTACTTCTCAAAATTAAGACCAGTCCTATAGTCCATATTTTGAGGAATGGATTGGTAGAAGACTGCTCCATTTAATGAAAAGCCAAGGCACCAAATACAGTTTTTTTTGTTTTCTTTTTTGTTTTAATTTAACTTTTATTTTAAGTTCAGGGGTAGATGTGCAAGTTAGTTACATAGGTAAACTTGTGTCATGGGGGTTTGTTGTACAGATTATTTCATCACCCAGGTACTAAGACTAGTTACCCACTAGTTAGTTTTCCTGATCCTCTTCCTCCTACTACTCTCCACCTTCCAATAGGCCCCAGTGTGTGCTGTTGCACCTACATGTCCATGTGTTCTAATCATTCAGCTCCCACTTATAAATGAGAAGATGCAGTATTTGGTTTTCTGTTCCTGCATTCATTTGCTAAGGATAATGGCCTCCAGCTTCATCCATGTTCCTGCAAAGAACATGATCTTGTTCTTTTTTATGGCTGCATAGTATTCCATGGTGTATATGTAATATATTTTCTTTATCCAGTCTACTATTGATGGGAATTTAGGTTGATTCCATGTCTTTGCTATTGTGAATAGTGCTGCAATGAACACACGCATACACGTGTCTTTATAATAGAATGCTTTATACTCCTTTGGGTATACACCCAGTAATGGGACTATTTCTATTTTTAGGTCTTCAAGGAATCTCCACACTGTCTTCCACAATGGTTGAACTAATTAACACTCCCACCAACAGCGTGTAAGTGTTCTTTTTTCTCTGCAACCTCGCCAGCATCAGTTATATTTTGACTTTTTAATAATAGCCATTCTGATTGGTGTGAGATGGTATCTCACTGTGGTTTTGATTTGCATTTCTCTAATAGTCAGGGATGTTGAGCTTTTTTTCCATATAATTGTTGGCTGCATGTATGTCTTCTTTTGAAAAGTGTTGGTTCATGTCCTTTGGCCACTTTTTAATGAATTGTTTTTATCTTGTAAATTTGTTTAAGTTCCTTATAGATGCTGGATATTAGATCTTTGTCGGATGCAGAGTTTGCAAAATTTTTCTCCCATTCTGTAGGTTGCCTGTTCACTCTGTTGATAGTTTTCTTTGCTGTGAAGTAACTTTTTAGTTTAATTAGATCCCATTTGTCAACTTTTGCTTTTGTTGCAATTGCTTTTGGTATCATCATCATGAAATCTTTGCCCTTTCCTATGTCCAGAATGGTATTGCCTAGGTTGTCTTCCAGGTTTTTTATATTTTTGGGTTTTACATTTAAGTTTTAATCCATTCTGAGCTAATTTTTGTACGTGGTGTAAAGAAGAGGTCCAGTTTCAACCTTCTGCATAAGGCTAGGCAGTTATCCCAGCACCATTTATTGAATAGGGAAACCTTTCCCCATTGCTTGTTTTCGTCAGGTTTGTCAAAGGTCAGATAGTTGTAGGTGTGTGACCTTATTTCTAGGTTATCTATCCTGTTCCATTGGTCTATGTGTCTGTTTTTGTACCAGTACCATGCTGTTTTGGTTACTGTAGCCCTGTAGTATAATTTGAAGTCAAGTAGTGTGATGCCTCCAGCTTTGTTCTTTTTGCTTAGGATTGGCTTGGCTATACTGGGCTCTTTTTGGGTTCCATATGAATTTTAAAATGGTTTTTTCTAGTTCTGTGAAGAATGTCAATGGTAGTTTAATAGGAACAGCACTGAATCTATAAACTACTTTGGACAGTATGGCCATTTTAATGGTATTGATTCTTCCTATCCATGGGCATGGAATGTTTATCCATTTGTTGATGTCATCTCTGATTTATTTGAGCAGTGTTTTGTAATTCTCCTTGTAGAGATCTTTCATCTCTCTGATTAGTTGTATTCCTAGGTCTTTTATTCTTTTTTTTTTTGGCAATTGTGGATGGGACTGCATTCCTGATTTGGCTCTTGGCTTGACTGTTGCTGGTGTTAATAGGAATGTTAGTGATTTTTGCACATTGATTTTGTATCCTGATACTTTGCTGAAGTTGCTTATCAGCTTAAGGAGCTTTTGGGCTGCGACGATGGAGTTTTCTAGATATAGGATCATGTCATTTGCAAACAAAGAAAATTTGACTTCCTCTCTTCCTATATGGATGCCCTTTATTTCTTTCTCTTGCCTGATTGCCCTGGCCAGGTCTTCCAGTGCTATGCTGAATAGGAGTGCTGAGAGAGGGCATCCTTGTCTTGTGCTGGTTTTCAAGGGGAATGCTTCCAGCTTTTGCCCATTCAGTATGATGTTGGCTGTGGGTTTGTCATTAGATGGTTCTTAGTACTTTGAGGTATCTTCCTTCAATACCTAGTCTACTGGGAGTTTTTAACATGAATGGGTGTTGAATTTTATCAAAAGCCTTTTCTGCATCTATTGAGATAATTATGTGGCTTTTGTCTTTAGTTCTGTTTATGTGATGAATCACCCAAATACAGTTTTTAATCGAGTTTTGTTCTGGAAGTATATGTGGGGTGGGAGTAGTTATATGTTCTAACAATATGTTTGCATTAAAACATTTCTAAAGACACTTAGCTTTCCCCAATCTTCTTCAGAAGCACCAATGTGGGCAAGGAGGACAGAGATGCTCAAGCTAAAGAACCATTAATGAGTAGCTGACTAGATTCATGTGGGATGTTTATCAAACATAAACTCCTGGGCTTCACCCCAACTTAGCAAAGTCCCTGTGACAGGCTCATATGTTCTAATGTAAATTAAAGACCTTAAAAGGGCCACATAAGCCACAGCTACAGGCAGCTAAGACCCACCAGACAAATGGCAGCTAATATGAAACATAAATTAATTACGAAGAACTTGGATAATCTGTGCAGCTATCCACTCTAATGGCTTTTAAGTATTTATTCTCAAAAATGGCCAAGTGTTGAATTTATACGTGCTTTGATGGAGGGCTCCATCTATTTCTTAAAAGTTCAGTACATGGAAATGCCTAACAGTGATATAATTCTCATCTGACATTACTTTTATTGAGATAGCAATATGAATAAAATTTACAAAATTTCTTTGCTTTAGTCATCCCTTCAATTTCAAAGCAAAATAATTTTGTGTGCTGTTTATAAATGGCTAATACATATTACATACAATTTTTATTTTCATTAAAATAAAAGATCTGTTCTCTTAAGCTGAGAACACATAAGACTGCAGAATGCTATAATACTTGTTTTCTAACTTCTCTCTTGTAGGCAGCTGAAATAGCTTGTTCTCCTGCTATTCAGCCAGCTGTTTCTTACATTCAGAACAAACAACATAGGGACCTAGTGTTTGATACAGAGACTGATTAATCTTTGGATATTTAAAATAATAATATAAAAATTTTATGATTTAAGAAATACTTTTTAAAACACAGGAGCAAAGTACATTTTATTGGGTTTTTAATAATTTATTTCTTCTTAATCTTTACATTATAGGCTGGATAGAACATCCAAATTAATCTATACAATTCATCCATGTAATAAAAAATCACCTATACCCCTCAAGCTATTGAATAAAAAAATAAGTTGAGGAAATATTTAATAACACCTTATAAATGATTGTTCAGTAAGTATATCCTAACACTTTTGTTTGTTTTGATCCTGGTTAGGACAGTATCAGTGAGAGACCTTAAAAATGTTTGAGTCAATTTACTCTCCTACCATATTTGTTTGATAAACACAAGGTCACATGAATGAATATGTACAAATAAGACTGACCAAGGTGACAAAAAAATTTGCAACCATTCCAAAGTGAAGTGTGACTTGCAATTATTTCTTCTGTCACCATTCCTCTCTGTTAGCATAAGTTTCTCATTCTCTGTATAGTATAGAGTTGACTATACATACAAATAATTATAAACATTCAGGAGCAAAAATAACTAACTTAATTGGAGCTAATTGTGAAATAACTGGAAACCATCAGATGATTTCACTTACAAGTCAATGAATGAGTCTAGGATTCATTATGAAACTATATTTTTAAAGCACAGATTTACTTGAAGACTGAAAACTATCAATCCTGATAAAACATTATCAGTTACAATAAACACAATTTGGAAATCAGAACAGACATTTTCATCACATTTTAGAATTATTTTGCTTTTCAACAACAGATTTTGAGACGATGCAAATAAGCCCTTTATAAAAGTACTTGCTGACCTACCAAAGTTGCTTAATCAAATCACAAACAACTATGAAATAAATCCCTGCTGTGACTTATCACCCTGGAGAGCACTAGATAAACTAGTTATTTGAGTGCTTGACCATGTATCGTATCTCTTTGAGATGTCCATTTCCCAACTGCAGGCCCTTCCTCCCAAAATGAATTCTAAGTATACTAACTCAGTTCATATTTTAAGGCAGGCCATTAAACATATCCTCAAATTGAATGTTAGAAATCCCTCCAGTTCTTTTGGTCTGAAGCTATAACATATAGAGATTCAGAGGACTGTTAACTTATAGTTTTTATCTCTGAAATTAAAAAAATATATAAATGACACTAATGGTATGTTATTTCCTATCAAATGTATTTCTAGAGAAAATATTTTTTAAATGTAGGTTAGCAAATCTCAAGTTTATTTAACACCATGATAAGCTAATGAAAGAGAATATTCTAAAATGTATATAGACTCAAGTATTTTTTTCAACTGAATATTAAAATTCGGAAGCCATAATTTACCTTAATTGTTGGCAGCAGTTCAGCTTTCCATGATAAATCAACCCCTTGCTGGCTTTGAAATAAATATGAAAATATAATTAAAGGACAAATATATGGAAATATTATAAATTATAAATAAGATTCAGAGGAAAAAGAAACCATCTCTACACCTAGTAGAGATGTCTAGTGAGTCTAATCCAATATACTCTGTCCGCATAGTTCCCTTAGCAACAAAAATGTTTTTCCCAGCTAATTTCAATGTTTGCAAAAATTACTAGTATATTCATTTCCTTTACTTTTCATTTTCAAAACAATACCATAATTTCATATAGCATCAAAATTAAAATAACAATGTATGAAACTATTCTAAAAGTGTGATTTACAAGTATTGTTTACGTTGAGATAAATGAACAGTGGAGGGCCATGCATTCAAAAGACTTACCACATAGAAGTGCTGTTTATGCAAGCAAAAATCCAACTATTCGTATCCTGTTGGTTAACAGCACAAAACAAAACACACTAAGTATTGTAGAAAATAATTGTACAAAACAAGCATTCATTTTCAACACTTTATTGTTATATGATAGGGTGACTAGGAGCAAATGAAATATAAATAACAGTTTATTGTTCAGAAACATATCCAACATGTTCTCAAAGTCAAATAAATCAAGGATAGGTAAAGAAAAAAAGTCTAATGTCAACATTGATAGGTAAGCAGTTATCCTGGAGCCAAGAGTATGAGAAAGACTACACTGACAGGTGTCTCTCTCTCTCTCTCTCTCTTTTTTTTTTTTTTTTTTTGAGATGGAGTCTTGCCCTGTCGCCCAGGCTGGAGTACAGTGGCGCGACCTTGGCTCACTGCAACCTCCTCCTCCTGGGTTCAAGCAATCTTCCTTCCTCAGCCCCTCAAGTAGCAGAAACTACAGGTGTGTGCCACCACGCCCAGCTAAGTTTTTTGTATTTTTTGCAGAGATGGGGTCTGACCATGTTGCCCAGGCTGGTCTCAAACTCCTGAGCTCAAATGATTCACCCACCTCAGCCTCCCAAAGTGCTAGGATTGCAGGCGTGAGCCACCACACCTGACTTCCATTCATAATAAATGCACGCTACAGCATTTTTAAACAAAACCACATTTTTTAATAGTGCCTAACATAGGAGGTACTCATTAAAAAGAAACAAAAAAATCAAAATCATTATTCTGATACAGTAAATCTAGATAACATTGTAAGTTACTCTATTATCTTAGAGAATATTTGCTATAAAAAGTACCTCAAATTTTAGTATGGAAGCCAATGGAAAACAGAATTCACTTTGTAAAGTTTCTATAGAATAGCTTTGCTTAATTATATCTATTCTTTAAAGTTCTAATAGAAACTTATAATTAAAGGGGTTTTGAATTCCATTCCTTCATCATGAACAGAGTAAAATGAAGGCAGAAAGACAGGGTGGGAGACCTAAACTAGAACCAAAATCACAATTTAATAGCATAGTATCTGTGATAAAAAAAAATTTGATTAATACTTTTCAATCAAAACACTGTTCCAGAGAAATTATTTTTCAACTATTTAGATTTAATAATATTTCATAGCTAGGTCTACCAGTAGAATTTGAAAAATGAACAACAGTTAGCCTCTTAAATTTACATAAAATGTCCCAATTATCTTACCAGCATAGTGCTCTGACAATAGACGTGACTGTAGATTTTTCTATGATTTTCAAGAGGAAATGTAAAATATATCTTCTCAGATTCCTACAAAAAAAGGAAAACAATATAGCTATAATGAGCAGATTAATTTCATCATTCAAAAATCCAGATATAGCAAATGAGTTAATTACTCTAATTTTATCATTCTTGGTGTTGAGAACCAATTCTCTAGGAGTAGGAGGAGGAAGATATGGAAGGGCAAGAGAAAGATTAGATATAAACTCTGTAGTCCTCAGTTTGTCCTGGAAGTATCAGTGTGAATGTAATTTTTTTGGTTGTTTTATTGGGTTTTTCTTTTGGTCTTTTAGTTAAGATTTTATGCAGTTCTTAGCTCTGGCCACTGAAAAGGCATAGAAATGCCAACCCAATAGCCACAAGCATTTCTAGTACCAGATTATGGTTTTGAGATACCACTTTCCAAAGAAAAGGAATAATTCCTTAAAGAAATAGCTGATTCAAGGTTTGGAGCAGGAAATGTACAAAATAAGCTAAAATATCTTGTCATACTCAACAGTGAGGAAACTATTAAAGACAACTAAAGAGTATATCAAAAAGACTCAGAAACTAAACTTGAAATCGTTTCCACTGGTCAAATACAGAATGATTTTCGTATCAACAGATTGAAAGACAAACATATTTAAATGCATGAGTACATAATAATACTGGAGGAAAAAACCCTCTAATGGTCACTAATAAAAGGAAGCTTGTGAGCCAACTCACCATTCTGATAATGAGTAAATATAAAGTAAGATCCAAAGATCCACACAATTATCACTCTTTTCCCATATGATTTATTCTACTTTTGATAAATTTAGTAGATGAGCAGAAGTTTTTCTCTAAGTATACAGAATTAACTAGAATACTATTCTAGTTAAAAAATAATAAAATTAAACTTATTACAATTTTTGCATCCTCCTAAATCAATTAATAACTCCAGGCATTCCTCATCAACAGTGGCTAACATCACAAAGAGAGAGAGAGTCTAGCAAAAACAAAAACAAAACAAAAATCTGAATATGAACAAGCAGCTAGATCCAACTACTAAATCACAGGACTTCAACAGGCAAAGGAACATGCGGAATGACTACAGGAATGCAATCAGTAAAATCAAGACTGTGAAACTCCAGAGGACAAATGACTTGGTGTTTTTTTCAACAAATAAGTTTCAAGAAAAAAAAAGAGAGGGTGGTGGTAAGAGAAAGTCTTCCAGATTAAAGAGGAATAAGACATTAATCAATAACAATGTATAGGCCTTGTTTGGATCCTGATGTAAACAAACTGAACATCAAAGAAAACAGCAAAAAAGATAAATTTATACAACTGATTACTGACTAGATAATCATTTAGGAATTATTATTAAATTGTGGGAAAATGGCATGCAGTTATCTTTTTTAAAGAGTTTTTAACTTTTAAAGATAAATACTAAATTATTTCTGGAAAAACATGAAAAAAATTAATTGGTGGAATACTTACGTTGTAAGCTACATAGGTCCATTTGGACACTTTTACTGGAACCCACATAGATGTCCCTTAAGGTAAAGGAAATTAATTTATTTGCCTTGTTTTGTTTTTATACTACATAGTTTCTTTCTTCTTTGAATCCTGGTGAAATACTTCTCAATCACAATAAAGAAGTGGTTTTCTGAACACTGGCTATATTAAAACAGAAAATCTAGTAATATACTTTCTATATGCTCATCACCAACTAGCATTCACATCAAGTAAAGTAAAAATCTGCTTGGTGTCCTTTAATTCTAAGGCATCATCAACATAAGGAAATAAATATTTCATTTCCCAAACAAGACATATAATTAAACCGGTATAATTTGCTTTATATTTAAATAGACAAAGCAAGTTATTTTGCTTTATATTTAAAAGCAAAATTTATCTGCAAAAGATATGTTGGTAATCCAAAAGAAGAACAAAGAATAACTGATAATTGAGGAACTGATAGGAGTCAAGAACAATATGGCACTTAGTTTATGTAACTGTTAGGAGAAGAGTCATTTAACTGAAATTTTTCTATTTGTCATGTTATTTTCAAGACAAAATTTTTATCAGCAACCTCTTACACATTGCTTCTTTTTCTCTTCCTAACCAAGAACTACACCAGCATCATTATAGGGAAATTAATAATATATGTGTATATATATAATAGGATCCTAAAACTTGAAGTATCACAGTTTCAAAGATTTTGTCGGCTATAAACAAATTTACCTAAAATTAGTAATGAAATACTTTATCTAAAATTAAAATATGTTATTGTCACCAACCTGTTAAGTCAGAAATTATAGCTGGATTTTCCTCAAAATGTTTTGATGGGTGTCTTATAAAGTGGTGACTCAAAACTGACAGTTTCTTCTTGGAATTTTGAGTTATCTAGAAAGAACATTGATACATTCTGTATTACTTTGTATCTATCGTAATAGCTCAATGACACATTGCTTCAGTAATAATGACAACAGCCAACACTTATTACTCTGAGGCACTGTTCTGAGCACGGTACATGAACTCACTCAATTATCACAAAAACTCTAAGAGATAATGATTTTATCTGCATTTTAAATGTGAAGAAACTAAAGCACAGAGAAATTAAGAAACTTGCCCAAGTTCACACAGCTATTAAGTCTGGGCTGGGATTCACATCCAGGCATTCTGGCTCTAGAGTCCATGCTTTCATTATTATGCAATAGTGCCTCTTAAGTAACATTTAAGAATAGAACATTATAAAAATGTATAGAACCAGAAGAGAATTTTAGAGATTCTCTGGTTTGTGATTCCAACATACCAGTTTCCAAATTCAGACTACTGCCAATACCATAACAAAGAATCCACTGATCGCTAGAGGAAATAAATATTGTCAACTTTCCTACCATAGAAATTACTCTTTTATTCTATCCTTCTACTTGTTTTTTAAATATCCTGGCACAATAAAAAGTTGGCAACTTTAAAAAAGTTGTCATCCCTTTAAAAAAAGTATACTGGGGTATAAAATCCATTTGATATTGACCATTATTCAACTCTCTAGTTTAATAATTGAGGCCCTGACAGGTAAGTGACTTTCTCAACAACAGAGTGAGAATGGCAAAAAAGTAACAGTGAGGATCCAGGTCTACTAAACCTTTCCAGTACCTTTGGAAGTCACCCAGGATTTGCTTGAACATTTTAATTTGCTACTTTGTAAGACCGTGCATTCCAATTTTAACAACTCTTACCAGGAGAATGCTTTATTTACAGCAAATATCTGATTCTTTATTACACTGCTATCTTAGATTGGGAGACAGTCCTTCAAAACTTAAAAGCTTGCTATGTTCTCCATTCAAATAAAACATTTCTTCTGCAGATAAAACAACTTCAAACGTATCAACCGTTTTTCACAGAACTCTTTTAGTCCCTTCACTATCCTGATTGCCTCCCCTGGATGAACTCAAGTTTGTTGATGTCCCCCTCAAAATATGATGCATGAAATAGAATACAGTTCTCTAGATATGGTATAAGTAGAGTGGAGGACAGTGGAGAACTTTTATATTAATTGATGCAAACTCTCTACCTCAAATAACTCAGTCTTATACTAAACTTGTTTGATGTTCTTAAGTGGCCACATCTGTTTGTAATCAATTAAACGTTACAGCCTGTCTATCAAAACTTCAGGCTGGGCGCAATGGCTCAGGTCTGTAATTCCAGCACTTTGGGAGGCCAAGGCAGGTGGATCACAAGGTCAGGAGATGGAGATCGTGACCATCCTGGCTAACATGTAGAAACCTCATCTCTACTAAAAGTACAAAAAATTAGCCGGGCGTGGTGGTAAGTACCTGTAGTCTCAGCTATCAGGAGGCTGAGGCAGGAGAATGGCATGAACCCAGGAGGCGGAGCTTGCAGTGAGCCAAGATTGCACCACTGCACTCCAGCCTGGGCGACATAGCAAGACTCCGTCTCAAAAAACAAAAACAAAAACAAAAAAACTTTAATTAAGACTGGATTCCACCATCCTTACTCTCAAGGCATCTACTCACAAGTTTTTACTCACCTACTCACAAGTTTTTAGCTATGACTTTTATGCTAATAACCACTAGAAATTACTCTGATTCTTGCCTTATCACCATGCTTAGGACTAATTATTCTTTGCATTTTAATTTCCCTGAATATATATGTTCTGCTTTTCTCCTGGACTATATGCTTCCTGAGGGTTAGATATCATACTTTAAGTTTTTATTTTCTACTATTTAGTCCAATTACACATAGTGAGTTTTTAAAACAAAACTGTTTCATAAACAGTATTTTTGATTCTTAGCAATATGGTTATCAAAAATTTCTCATTTTCCCCTTAAAATGCATAACACATTTATACATTCAGAATTATAGTTTATTACATACTAGGACTATAGTTCTTTTCTCATCTTATGAGTTAATGGCAAAACATGATTTTATTTATAGAAATTAGTTTTATGTCCAGTTTTTTTAGGAATATACCTGTCTGAGGTATCCTGTTCTTCACTAGATGGAACAAGGTTTTTCCTAAGTTTACCAAATGTCAGTTCAAGTACAAACTGGTCTAGCAACTTTAATTGATTCTATTATTTTATCTAGTTGCACTCCCTCAAGTAGGCTTAGAACTTTTACCACAGTTATGTCTTACAGCTAAAACAATGTCAACAAACCAAAAAATGTTTGTGTTCCATGACAAATGTTTGTGTTCCATGACCAAGTCACAGTGTCAACAAGTCATAGGCGAAGCTTGTTTAAATCAATAAATATACTAACTTAATACCGAATCTTGTCACTTAAAATGTGGTAAAACACAAAATGATCTGGACCTTCAGGAGACAGCTAAGTATCTATGATTCTCTCTATGAGTGGTTATACAGCTTTCTGAAGAGTTAAGGAAAAAAATCCCTATCCTTCTAAGAGAGTACACTACAGGGTATAGGAGCTTTCCTCATTGTTAAGAATTAAGTACTGCCTGGAGACGTATTGAGAAAGAGGTCACCCATACTAGTCTCCCAAAGAATTGGAGCCTTCAGGTGAAACACTCCAAAAATATCTGGGCTGCAATGCTTTGCCATGAAAAAGACTACATAAAAACTAAGGAATTTTTTTCTCCAAAAGAAGAAGTCAGAGCCATAGTTCTCAAAATATTTCCATGGAACAAGATGACCTGAGTTAAAAGGCTGTTTAAGATGAATAATGGCAATCTGTTCCCAACTTACAAAAAAAAAAAAAATTTAAGTTAATGGAAAGAATTCTCTGAATTTTGCTGAAATCCTGCTACCATTTATCTGCTAGCAGACAAGAAAGAGATAAAAGAGTAACATTATAACCTGTAAAGGATACTATGATTTCCATATGTTCTGCTAATTAAACAATTTGGAGAATTACTAGTTTGAAGAGTTTACACTGTGAAATTACACTTCATTACAAAGGTAAAACTTATAGAAGTACATAATTTAAGTTCTGGTAAGCTTAGGTTATTCAATAAATTACACATTTCAATCTTATCAGAAAGCTAAAGTGGTATTTTTAAAAAGCATGGTTCAAAACTGTTTAACAAACTCAGGAGGCTGAGGTGGGAGAATCACTTGAGCCCAGGAATTTGAGTCCAGCCTGGGCAACATAGTAAGAACTTGTCTCTCAAAAAGAAAAAAAGTCTAATAAGATAGATCATGATGTTTATAACATATTACAAAAAAATTTATAAAATAGTTTGTAAGAACTATTTCCCCTACATTTAAAAAATGAAAGAAGGGGCCGGGCGCGGTGGCTCAAGCCTGTAATCCCAGCACTTTGGGAGGCCGAGACGGGCAGATCACGAGGTCAGGAGATCAAGACCACCCTGGCTAACACGGTGAAACCCCATCTCTACTAAAAAATACAAAAAACTAGCCGGGCGAGGTGGCGGGCGCCTGTAGTCCCAGCTACTCTGGAGGCTGAGGCAGGAGAATGGCGTAAACCCGGGAGGCGGAGCTTGCAGTGAGCTGAGATCCGGCCACTGCACACCAGACTAGGCGACACAGCGAGACTCCGTCTCAAAAAAAAAACAAAAACAAAAATGAAAGAAGGCCGGGTATAGTAGTTCACGCCTGTAATCCCAGCACTTTGGGAAGCCAAGATAGGTGGATCACCTGAGGTCAGGAGTTTGAAAACAGCCTGGCCAACATGGTGAAATCCCATCTCTATTAAAAACACTGGTGGTGCACATACTCAGTCCCAGCTCCTCTGGAGGCTGAGGTGGGGGGATCACTTGAACCTGGGAGGCAGAGGCTACAGTGAGCCGAGATCATGCCACTGCACTCCAGCCTGTGCGACAGAGTGAGACTCCATCTTAAAAAAAAAAAAAAAAAAAAAAAAAGATATATGTCAAACTTTAAACAGGGGAAACAACTGGGGCAAGATTTAAGGTTCTCTCACTTTTCATCTTCATTGCATTTTATAAATTATTTGCAGCAGTTAAAGTAGTATGAGTAAAAGAAAGATATTTCCATTTTGGAACTAATTAAAATTGATATAAGGTATATGTTTCTGTTTTCATCAAAGTAAAAAAATTACATTAAATCTATCATGGCTGTAAATGATATAGCAAAGTAAAAGCTTTCACTTAAATAATTTTTAGTTTAAAAATACATACTTGTTTAGTATCAGCATCAATAAGATCAAAGAATGCTCGAACTGTAGTCAACTGCAATTGTTTACACCTAAGGAACAAAGTAAGTGTTACAAATAAAACTTTCTTAAAACATATACTTTTGATCAAAATATGCACAATTCTGTTGTTTAGTGGAACATCTGAGTTTCCTTTAGTGCTCTAAACTCAAAAATTATGTAATAAATCATTCTTATTAAGCATATATCTTAAATATGACACCTATAAAAATAAAGCAAATTAAATCTTCCTGGATGTTGGCCAGAATTTTCAGGGTCCTTCTGTTTTCCCTAAATCCCCTCACCTAGCCTAGCCATAGATGTACTACCTACACCATCTTTATATACCTGAAGTATGTCATTCTAGCAGATACTACTGCTTGCACAGCCAGAGAAAAGTCAAAAGAGAATCTTTAAGCTGAAACACAATGAGATAAATATATCAGGGTCTGCCTATTTCTTGACCCATATGGATAAATTTAATTCCTACTTGGTTTTCCATGTGCTGCTCCATAGAATAGTCACTGCTCCATTAACCAAATCTGAATATGGTGATTGGCCAGAAGCTCACAAAGTCCTACCAAAAGTGCAGTTGATTCCACCCAACTAGGAAAAACTCAAAAACTTTGATATTTGCTGTTAGCTTCATTTGAGACTAATGCTATTGGGTTTTTGGGAGATTGTTTTACATGTTGTCACAAGGACCTTGGTCAAACTGAAACAAGAACCAAGATTAGAATTCCAAGCTTCTCGGCCGGGCGCGGTGGCTCAAGCCTGTAATCCCAGCACTTTGGGAGGCCGAGACGGGCGGATCACGAGGTCAGGAGATCAAGACCACCCTGGCTAACACGGTGAAACCCCATCTCTACTAAAAAATACAAAAAACTAGCCG